GTGTGTCTTACTTTAGGAAACGATCATACATGGCAGCAGAAAACAAAAATTATTTACATTATAGATCATTCCTTAGAACCAAGATCAGGGCACAAATTTACAGTTTATACATTATATTGAATCTGTAGAAAAATTAGTTTAGAGTTTAAGAAATCATACACATGTTTGGAGGCTCCTCCAACTTGTCTCTAAATGGATTTCGCTACCGACTCAAGAGTAGGATCAAACTAATGAAGTCCACATGAAGACAACCCCTAGGAACTAAAGAGGGTTTGCTAGACCCTTTTTAGCCTTAAGAACCAAGAAGAAATCAAAAGATATTTGATTTAAGCAAAATAGCAATCTGGCATGGGAAGAAGAGAAAGGGGCTGGAATATTTTATGTTTTGATTGAATGAATTAAATTGATTAATTCACAAAGTGTTACACTTATATAGTGCATAGTTTGCCCTATTCCATCATGGAATGAGCTTGGGCTCCAACCCAAACAGCCCTTGTATCCAAACAGGCCCATTTAGATATTTTAATTTTAATTTTAATTATTATTATCTCAATTAAATTAATATATATATATATATATATAAAAAATATTAACATTTAACAATAATGATAATTTATTTAAATATATGCGAACACATATTTAAACGTAATCTCACTTAGATAATTTTAATATCAAATTAAATAAAGGCTATGACCTTAACAAATTTAATTGCACTGTGAGATTACCAAAATACCATTTTTGCCTAAAAAGACGAAAACGCCCTTCTTATAAACTGGTTCTTAAATTATCTTCTATGTGTGTGACCCATAGGCTCCTCATCATACCAATAGTGTGTAGTATGGCAGTTAACACCAATTAATCGTCTCACTACACACAGACCAAGATTGGCCTCTAGCAAGGCATCATGGCCACCCGATAGATTCGGATTCAGCGAACCAGCTACCTGTCAACAATATGGTTACTGTATAATCTAATCTTTTCATCATCTGTTATCTCAACGAGACCGAGACATAGAAATAGTGTCAACCTCAGTTACTCTCGATATGTATGTATTCAGTTACTAGACCAATGACCGGAATTATAAACTGAATAGAGTAACAACTCAATCCCACTGTGGCCACAGTTTTAGTGTTATTGCCATTTACTGAATTGCGCCGTGAGATAACTCTCCCCCATACTCGGGAGTGATGAATCCTCTATCGATCCACCATAGTCTTGATACACTCCTTGATGCAACCAATCATTATCGTATTGACAACTCTGAAAAGAACTGCGTTGGGCTAGTGTCAAACTGCATCAATCGGTGCATAAGACGCTCCGGTGATCTCAAGTCTAAGGATCACATGTACCACCATTCGTTAAAGGATTTGTTCCATAGACACTGGGGTTACCATCCATATGGAATCCTCTGGNTTTGGAGGCTCCTCCAACTTGTCTCTGAACGGTTTTCACTACTAACCTAAGAGTAGGATCGAACCAATGTAGTCCACACGAAGATAACCCCAAGGAACTAAAGAGGGATTTGCTAGATCCTTTTTAGCCTTAAGAACCAAGAACAAATCAAATAATATTTTATTCAACCCAAAAGGCAAACTGGCTTGGATGACAGAAAAAAGGGGCTAGAATTTTAGTCTAAATGATTGAATGAAAATCTTATTTTAATTCACAAAGTGTTGCACTTATAGTGCATACTTTGCCCTATTCCATCATAGAATGGCCTTGAGCACCAACCCAAACATCCCTTGTATCCAAACATCCCTATTTAGATATTTCAATTTTAATTATCATTATCTAAATTAAATTCAATTAATATATATACAATATATATTAATATTTAACAATAATGATAATTTATTTAAATATATGCAAACACATATTTAAACGTAATCTCACTTAGATAATTTTAATATCAAATTAAATAAAGGCTACGACCTCAGCAAATTTAATTGCACCGTGAGATTACCAAAATACCCTTTTGCCTAAAAAGACGAAATGCCCTTCTTATAAACTGGTTCTTAAATTATCTTCTATGTGTGTGACCCGTAGGCTCCTCATCATACTAGTAGTGTGTAGTATCGTGATTAAAACCAATTAATCGTCTCACTACACACAAACCAAGATTGGCCTCTAGCAAGGCATTATGGTCACCCGATAGATTCAGATTTAGCGAAGCAGCTACCTGTCAACGATATGGTTACCGTACAATCCAATCCTTTCATCATCTATTATCTCAACGAGACCGAGGCATAGAAATAGTGTCAACCTCAGTTACTCTCAATATGTATGTATTCACTTACTGGACCAATGACCGGAATTATAAACTGGATACAGTAACAACTCAATCCCACTGTGGCCACAGTTTTAGTGTCATTGCCATTTACTGAATTGCGCCGTGAGATAACTCTCCCCCATACCCGGGAGTAATGAATCCTCTATCGATCCACCATAGTCTTGATACACTCCTTGATGCAGCCAATCACTACAATATTGATAGCTCTGAATAGAACTGCTTTAAGCTAGTGTCAAACTGCACCAATCGGTGTACAAGGTGCTCCGGTGATCTCAAGTCTAAGGATCACATGCACCACCATTCATTAGAGGATTTGTTCCATAGACACTGGGGTTACCATCCATATGGAATCCTCTGGTGGGTTGGTCAAGTGAACTTGCCTACAGTAAGCACCCATGTGTTGCATCAGGTTGTCACCAAACAACCTCGACAAGTGAGATAGTCACTGTCTTTCGACAGGGTCGTTCAACACTATGATAGCCTTACCGTATTATCTGTGCCCTTACTTCAGAATAATACTAGGGTTACAGACGTTTCTAGAATGGCCACTATATGTGCTCATACGGTTCTCACTATCAAGATTTGAAACACTTGATACCCTCATCACGGTTCGACCATTCTAAGGACATATATCAATGCATACAATGATGATTTACGAGATATAGAATAAAATGCATTTTATTGATCAATGAACATTATTACAAAGAGTCAATTCTACAATAATTGATTTGCTCTAGGACATCTACTCTTAATACTTACACCCACCCAGTCGGTTTGGAAAACCGAGTGAAGATTCTTATAGAATGCACTTGCTCTATCCCATGAGATTTAATTGATCGAGTCATGACGCCTTCACTCATCCAGGAGAAATCTCACTCAGTCTGAGACACCTTCATATGGTATAATTTGCCTTCACTTTGAATAAACTACTCTCTAAGCTAAGTGCTCCTTAACTTAGAGAATGTGGGACAAACTGTATGGGCAAAAAATAGTATTGGGCCTTGCCAGGCCCAAGCAACAAAACACCTACTATATGGTTTACGGTCATAGCCCAATTCCAGTTGGGCCTATGCCAAGATCCATATTATGGGCCAGCCCATTTCACCAACCAGACAATTGACCTGTGGGATTCTCTAAACATTAAGGCCTTACCACCAATTGGGCCTCATCACCAGTCCACTTGGGCCTAGGCCCATCGATCCAAGATCATTCCAAGAAACCAAAGTTCTACTTAAACCTTACTTCATCCACTTCCTATTTTTTATCTACATCCTAATTCATCTAAGATCTTGAATCTTGCATGAACTAGGACTCTTACTCCTACGAAAGTAAGTAAATAAAGTGTTTCCTATTTACTAGAAATTAATTATTATGGACTCAGAGTCCTACTAGGATTCGAAGATCCTATATCCACTATATAAGCAGAGGTCTTGCCTCTCATTAAGCATCTATTATTCAATACCACCTACTAGCTCGTAAGTTCTTGATCCTAAGAACTGTACACAAACCCTTCCTCCCTTTAGCCCTCACTAAATAACATCTTTCAACCTTGCTGACTTGAGCATTGGAGTGCCTACGGTAGACACCACATCGGTGTTTTAAGTAAGCTTCACGCTTGTTTCTTTGTGTGTACAGGTTTAGTAGATCATCAGTGGTCTCAACCTCACAGGATCAGTCTGTTCCGTAACCGTAGATTTTGACCGTCTACAACTGGCAATATTACCCCGCAAATCCTAGCACTACGACATCCCTTTGCCCTATAATCAACTCTAAACTTGCAAAACCCATCACTCTACAACACCCGCCACTTCCATAACAATGAAAATTGCAAACTGTCTCTTCAATTTTGGTGCAAAACCCATCACCGGTATGGCCATGTTTCTTCGATTTGGCAGGCTATCCCTTCAATTTTGAGTGGAGTTGGTAGGCGGTGATTGGGAGGTGCACTGAATTGATTTTTTGAATTTTATGGTTGTGAGGATTGAGTTTTGATGAGTGTGGGTTTCTTTTTCGGAATTTTCTTGAATATAGTGTTTGTGACAGTTGAGTTGCGATGATTGTGAGCTCTTTTTTATTTATAATTTTCTGGAATTTTGTTTCCAAAATGCTGTTCATTTATCCCTTTGTACCAAAATTTCTTGACTATTATTTTTCTACTCCTGGAAAATGTTCATGAAGCACATCCTATGCTTACAGAATGTTGTGACTTTGAATTGTTCTTTAGAAGTTGTGAGATCCTTCAGTAGTGGAGATTAACTAGGTGTGCCATCATAAAATTTTTACTCATTATCTATTCTCACTAAGAAACCATTAAAATAAACTCATTTATGGATATATTTTTTATTTTTTCCGTTTAAGTTTCTATTAGTGATAGTGAGGGGAGGTGGTTGAGAAAAGTGGAAACCTAAAGGGAGGGTTTTAACAATTTCTCATACGTTTGGTGGTAATGGAAGTGAAGCTTAAACCTCAAGGGGTTACTTGATAATAAGCTATTTCGATAACATAAAAGAATGCATTAATCCTCTAGGTAGCTTGGGCCTTGCAAGAAAGAGTTATAGAATTTTCTAGATGAAGAATCAAAGTATATAATAAGAATTATAGTTTAATGTAGATAATATTGTATTAGATTGAGTTGATAATTAGCATTTATTTTAAGAAAAAAAACAAAAATACCAAACTTGAGATATAATTATAAATGATAAAACCGAATAAGAGTTGAGTGAGTGACACTGCTGACATCTTCAACTTTAACATCATATTCATAGCATCCCATCTCCATTTCTCTTAATCAACGATCATCATATTCATGAAGTCACCCAAACATCCGCCCGAATTATCCGACCGTCAAGCAAAGGCCGTTGTCGTTCAGCCTTCCTCCCCGCGATTCCCGCTATCTTTCACCGGTTCTCACAGAAAAGTCGGAATCGCTGTCGATCTAAGCGACGAGAGCGCTTTCGCCGTCGAATGGGCCGTACAGAACTATCTACGTCCAGATGACAACGTCATCCTCCTGCACGTGCGTCCCACGAGCATCCTCTACGGTGCGGATTGGGGCGCGATCGATCTTTCGTTGGAATTGACGGACTCTGAAGAGTCGCAACAGAAGCTGGAAGATGATTTCGACTTGTTCACGAATACGAAAGCTAACGATCTGGCGCAGCCGTTAGTGGAGGCGCAAATTCCGTTTAAGATCCACATAGTGAAGGACCATGACATGAAGGAGAGGCTGTGTTTGGAGGTGGAGAGGTTGGGATTGAGTGCAGTGATTATGGGAAGCCGAGGTTTTGGAGCTGCGAAGAAGAGTAGTAAGAGTAGGTTGGGGAGTGTGAGTGACTATTGCGTGCATCACTGTGTTTGTCCGGTGATTGTGGTTAGATTTTCTGATGAGAAAGATGGAGGTGATAATGTTGGTGATGGAGTCAATGATCTTCATCCGGTTGTGGAAGAGGATGAACAGGAGTATCATGATGCTTCTGATAAGCACACAGGTTAGCCTTTTTCTCACTTCTGATGTATAATTACTGCTTAATTGCTTCGAGTTCAATGAAGATCACCTGCATTTGGCTGATTGACATTATGATTATGTTCTTACAAACTATTGTAAATTTCTTTTTTATTTAAACTGATATGGCAGTAGATATGGCTATCCTATGTTTGTTACAATATCATCTGTTGTTCATGTGATTGTGAAATTTTTTTATTATGTCACTTTGTGTATGATAACTACTTTAAGAGTAGGATTACATGTTAATTCTTGAAGTTTTCTTTTCTTGTGCTTTGTTTAATGATGGTTTATCGTAGTTTATTAAGATTATGTTGCATTGATATGGTAGGTTTTAGAAAAGCTTGACCCTGCAACTTGGGCGATAAGAGTTGTGTGGACTTAGTTGTAAATATGCTCAACATTTGGAAAAGAGTATTATAACTGTTTTTGTATGAGAATTTCCTTTGTTTGCCTTTTCATTTAAAAGTTTGTGTAACTGTCGTTTTTACATTCTTGTGAGTATACACTCTTGATTTTCTTATTCCTATCGATGGTTAATAATAGATATTGAAATGACATATTGGCTTATCTTTACCGTAATTTATGCATTGTCCATATAAGTAAATTGCATCAATAATACTTTTAATTTGATTTGTCTCAATCCCCTTACTACTTTGAGATCAGAAGGGTCTTCTTTTTGATGTTGCAGCTTCTTTCTGTATAATTTATCCAGTTTTGCTAAAATGTTTTATTACTGAAAAAGAAAGAAGACTGCATCCTTATATGCTGTGTTGCTTATTAATATCGTCTGCTGGAAAACTGTTCAACTGTTTTTACATTTTATTTGTCGCCTCCCCTTGAATGATGTGCTTTGTCAGGTCTTGATGCATGCAACCAAATATTTTATCTGAATTCATGAAGTATAATAGTGGGCATTGTAGTAGAAGCAGGTGCAAGACATTTCTGCCTCTCCTCTGTGCTATAAAGGTTTCGAAGTTAATATAAGTTAACTTTGAAGTTTCAAATAAAGCATATATATAACTACTTGGGCTTGAAGTTTACAATTTGATCTGTACGAACGCAAATGCAGTGCTCTAATATTTGGAGTTCAGGATTTGCTCGTTTCTTAGCAGTAGGAAGTCTTTTAACATTTTTATGGAGATCATTCCCAAGAATACTGGATATTCTTAATGTCCTGTGAACATTTTTTTTTTTTTTTGTAACGGAAGAAAAAAACATTATTAATCAAAGAAAATACATCATAGTTAGAGTGAACCAGTAGCCCAGGAAAATTAAGAAAAGAAAAAAAGAAGAAAAAGAATGGAAACAGGAAAATCAAGCCACTGCAACTTTCCAATCCTTCTTAACAAAGAAAAAAGAAATCCCTTGAAATGTTTAGTAATTGGAGCCCCCAGAGAAGCAAGAACATGAGTTCTATCCCAAAGCAAATACACATCCTCTTACCTTGAGTCTTCAAAAATTCTTTAATTAATTTCATCACACAGAACCCATCTAGTAGCCAAAGTGCAATATCACCATAAAACTAAAGCTTTATCTCCACCTCCAAAAGCATTATGTTCAATAAATAAAGCATCAGAGGACTAGAATCACCCAAGCTATATCTACCTGTAAAAAGTTTTAAATCATAGTTTTAAAGCAACTATATGATTAACAAAATATGATTAAAGCTTTCCACATCCCTTTTACAGTTAGGAAGCCAATTTGGAGAAAGACAAGCATCAGGCCACCTTTTTTTGTTTTTAATGCATTAGTTGTATTAACCTTTCCGTGAGCCACCAATCAGGATTGGAATTGCACTTTGGGAAGAACTTTAGCTTTCCAAATCATCATTGCTGAATAAATTGCTCCAACTGTCTTAATCAATAAGCCGGTTGACGAAAGACTTACCAGAAAATCCAACTAAGCTTCAAGCGTATCGTATGATCCTCCTTCAAACAATCCAAGGTAACATTCTCAACAAAAGAAAGAAGCAGAAGGTCACTCATTAACTTTCTCATCCTTGAAATTTTTGACAAAACCTAAAATTCCTTCCAAATGAGCAGTAGAATAAACCAATGTACTCCCAGTTGATCTTTTGTGCACTCTGGATAAAAGAACATGCTTGTATCCTGATGTTTCAAAAGTTAGTATGATGAATAAATCCTCTTTGTTAAAGAATTTATGAAAGCATGGTTTATAATCCTTGTAGGAATTCTTGTCAATTCATGGTTTATGTTTATTTGTAAGAGCACTCTTATGAATTCATTTTCAGTATTGAAATGAATTTGAGATTATCTGCATTCTGATCCATTTTTACTTCAGCAGTTTTTTGTTGGTTAATCTCATGAATTACTATCTCTTGTGGATTTGGTGTGTTTTGTTGACACATGTCGATCATTATAAGGTCTGCAATGGATTATTTAACCTTGTTGTCGTATTTCATTAATGAAGTTCAATATGAACCTGATGAGGACATGTGGGAGAGAAATGAGGGAGGAGGAAAGAAATGGGGGAAAGGTATAGTGGATAGGCGATTGCTGGGGAAGTTATATGGTGTCAAAGATGGTTAAGGATAGTAGATAGGTGGCCAGTCGTTGCACTAGTGTTGGTGGTGGGTGCTAATGGTGGATGTCAAGGGTGCAGATAACAGCTGGTGACTGTGGGAGATGGATGGTCATTACAATTGATGTGCAGATAACAGCTGGTGACTCTAGGAGATGGATGGTCATTACTATCAATTGTAGCTGATTGGTTGGTTGATGGTAGACAAAGTTGTGAAGGGGTGAGTATGTCAGCAAGTAAGGAAGAGAGTGTTGGTGGTGTGGTGGTGTATATGCACTCGCTCTAATGTTGTTGATAGCGCAAATGGTAGCGTGGCAAAGTCTGGGCTTTGTGTTGAGGCCCTAATCTAGGTTAGATGAAGATGATGTTTTAGGGAAGGTTTTAGACCATAAATTTGGGATGTTGGTGGTGATGATACAAATTAACAGAGTTGTTGACTTTTCTGTTTGTTTGAGTTTTTATGAATTTTTTTATGACGGTTGAGTTAAAAATGAGGGGTAATGAAAGTGTGTAGCTTATGGAAGATTGATTTAAGACGGTTATGTGCTTGGAAAGTGTGTGGAAGAGGGAATGAATTTGGGTATGATACCAAACTGATGTAGAATTGATAAGATAAAAATGAGAGTGGAGAAAGAAATGGGGGAAAAATGGAGGGAAACTGAGAGAATAGGGGAAAACCAATATTCAGTATCCCATATTCTTCAAACATGAAGTTTCAAATTAGTATAAGCCTTATATATATTGAGATCAAAACCCACAAAGGTATTCAGAACGATTACTGAGACTCTTTTCTTTTACTCATTAGTTAGGAAAGTGAATCATTATAGTTGGGTAAAGGTCCTGTATATACTTAGCGCGAGATAGAGTAAATGGCCTAAAATTGATTGCTTCCTAATATAAGTACTAAAACTAAATTGTAGATTTTCTGCCAAAACCAATATTCCTCATGGATGTGGAAAGATAAAGATTTGCCAGTGGTAATTATAGGTGGTGGGTAACTACACTTGTAGTTGTAGTTGAAGGCATGTTTGTCGTTTTAAATTATAAAATCTATGAGAACATATAGATGCATACTGTTTTCTCTGTTATCATAAACACAACATGAATTTTCAGTTTTAGGTGGAGAAAAATAAATTTGGGACTAACAGCTATGTGAACATGGCACCCAATTTTCTATGGTACTATTTAACATTTAATGTGAAAAATGTGTTTGTCTGTGGGAAAGAAAATAGATTCAAAAGATCACATATTAATTTGAATGTGAAAGTACTTTATGTGTTTTCCTGAAAAGTGTGGAAGTTAAAAAACTGTTATTTTGGGAGAGTGAAATTATTTCTTATGTTAGAGTTCTAGTCATTTGTTGAACTGAAAAGGAGTAGTATGGGCTTTTTGGAGCCCTTTAATAATCTTATAAACGCTTTTGTTAATAGTTTGTTGGAGTTATTGACTGTGTGAATTATGATTTCATGTACTATCAGTTTTTCTTTTTGCATGAGCATAACTGGTGAATATGACATTTACTTTTCTGGTTCTTAAGCATGCTATCCAGATGTGAAAAACTAAAAGTTTATGAGAAATTCTGGTGAAATGTGGTTGCTGACTTTGAACTATATAAATGTATGTTTGTAGTCATTGAGAAGTATTTGTATGGCCACTGCTGAATTTTTTTATTATGATCAGTTTTGCTAGATGGCATCTTATGTTAAAAATTTCAGTGTCTTTCATATTGTATCTTTTAATCGATAGGTGTTATGTTTTATATGAACTCATCGGCAATGGTCGTATTTGAACCAAACTTATTTAGAGAGAAAACTGCCTTCCATGCCCTAGGAATATTTTACTCTGCAAATTGGTGGTAGGCCACCAATTTCGAGGTTCAAATCAATATAAAATAAGCTTAGAGCCAGAGTTGTTCTCTCCTCTTGCCTTATCGTCTCCACGCTCACCCCCTGGTGCACCTATTGTCATATGGCTGTAATGATTATCAATTGTTTTAATTGAAACTTGATTTTGAGAGAAACTTTGACATGTTGCAGATACGGAGAAGGCTTCGTGAGCAGATGCAAGGTAGGGAATGTTGAGGCATTCAGAGTTGAAGGGTCCTTGTTGGTGTGTTAACAGGTTGTGTGAAAGAGTTTGGTGGTACTGGCTTCTGTCTTTACATTTGTGTGGTGCCTTGGATATTTATGAAGTTTGGATAATGAATTGTCTTTGGTTTCATCTCGGTCGCTTAATGTACTTAGGTTGTACCCCCTTTTTTATCCTGTCATTAGAATTTTCTGTTGGAAACCTTTTCAGTGGTTTGCAACGGTAATTTTACATATGAGATATGTATATATAGAACTGTTTGTAATGTCTTGGAAGTAAATGCGTGGTCCTTTGAGTATGAAGATGGTTCCCTTTTTGAAAATCTTACATTGATGCAACTGATCCAATGCAACAAAAAAAGAGGTTTTAAGTTTGAGGTGGCGTTGGGAGGGGTGATTCTGGTTGCTGAATATCGTAAGGTTATGTTGTAGCTGAATTTGGAAAATCTATAAGTTAAATTTATGGGTTAAGTTTAAATGTGATGTAGCAGTGAGGAAGAAGGTACATATTAATCCTTGATTTGATTCATGATGTTTTCAGAAGCAAAAGATAAAAGACCCGAAGTGTTCTTGAAGACTCATTAGGCAAGAAAATTACTTTTGGATACCTATATACTAAACTCGATAGGGGTGGATATTGGCTTCAGGCTTTTCTTGCATTGATAGGTTTGATATTCAACTCAACTCAATTCTTCTTCATCTAAAAATTTCAATGTATTTGCCTATGAATACCTCTAAGTATTCAAAAGATATGGGCTAGCATTTGGTCAAATTCAGCCATCAGCCACTAGTGCATATATATTTAAAACGATTGATTTTTGGTTTCAAAGGTTCTAAACACATTGTCAACATGTTACATAACGTTAACTAAATTTGATGTTAAAAAAAAGAGCATCTCTCTCCCATATGGGATTATTTTGAGCCTATGCTTTTGTTATGAAGTGAATGATCTCATAGGTCTAGTATGAAATCAACCATCTTGATCTTTAACATTATATTCCACAAAAAAGAATGTGTAAGTGGCTATCATTGCAAGTGACAAAGGCCAATGTTCATAGAGAAGAATAATCCCTTCGTGGCTGTCATCTCACAAAACTCCACTGTTCCCAACAAGTAGAATCCAAAGCAACCAAGTCCAAATATCTCTCTATATACAATACAACCACACAAGCATCAATTTTCAGCCTTGATTTCTTCTCTGTTTTCAAATCTAATATTTTACTTTAATTACTTATTTTAAGGAACAATAACCCATGATCAACTTGCAAATAAAATACTAATCCATGGCTTATGGCAAGCACGTGGAATTGTCTAAAGATAACATAAGCCTCCCTAAACTTGATGTGATGGTTGGTTAAGATAATCTATACTAATTCAATAGATTAGATCTGCAAAACAGATGGCAAAATTATTATTAAGGTAAGTAANTCAGCCTTGCAAGAAAGAGTTATAGAATTTTCTAGATGGGGAGAACGACTTACACATACCCAAGGTTTACCATAACGACAATTGGTACCTAAAAGGTTTTGAAACGACAAATAGATACCTTCCGTCATGTTCTGTTAATGATTTCTGTTTATTAATAGTGAAAAGACTAAAATACCCTTAAAAGTTTGAATTTTAGTTTTTTATAAATTTAAAAATGTCTAAAAAACCCCCTAGGTTTACAAATTTAACTAAATAACCCAATATATAACATTTTTATAAAATAACAAAAACACCCCCGCCACCCGCAGTGCCAGATTCCGGCCACCACCGCCGGAATCTGGCAAGAAAGTTGCATTACGACATAGACCCGTCGGATCTGTGTCGTAACGCGGCGATCTGGATTTTTTCGGCCAGATCCGTGGCTGATCTGGCCGGAAAAGGCCAGATCTATGGCTAGATCTGGCCGTCGACGCCGCAAAACTCCATCTGCGGCGTCGACGGTTAGATATGGCTGTAGATCTGGCCTTTTCCGGCCAGATAAGCCACGGATTTGGCCGGAAAAGGCCAGATCTAGCCGCTGCTTCGACGGCCAGATCTGGTCGGAAAAGGAAAGATCGGCACGTTACGACATAGATCCGACGAGTTTGTGTCGTAACGCAACTTTCCGGCCAGATTCCGGCAGTGGTGGTCGGAATCTGGCACTGCGGGTGGCGGGGGTGTTTTTGTTATTTTACAAAAAATTTATATATTGGGGTATTTAGTTAAATTTGTAAACCTAGGGGGTTTTTTAGAAATTTTTAAATTTATAAAAAACTAAAATTCAAACTTTCAGGGGCATTTTAGTCTTTTCACTATTAATAAACAGAAATCACTAACAGAACATGACGGAAGGTACCTATTTGTCGTTCCAAAACCTTTTGAGTATCAACTTGTCGTTATGGCAAACCTTGGGTATGCACAAGTCGTTCGGCCTTTCTAGATGAAGAAAAGCCATAACCTCAAAGTATATAATAAGAATTATAGTTTAATGTAGATAATATTGTATTAGATTGAGTTGATAATTAACATTTATTTTAAGAAAAAAAACAAAANACTGATGTAGATTTTTTGTTTTTCCTTATTAATACATTGCACAGTCTAATTTTCTAGTTTTGTCAAAAGCGTGTGGCTAGAAAATCACAACTTCAACTCTGAACTGAAGCCATTCAATTATTGTATGAAATTGACAAAAAAAAAAAAAAAAAACAAGGGAAATTAACAAACTTTCCCACCAAAGGGACTCAAAACAGGAAACGAAAACTTGTGGCACATGTAAAGACAAACAATGAATACCACCAACCTCCCTAAGTTCCATGGTTTTTCGTTATCTCTCAAACTTGACTTGTAATTATTGATTTTTTGATCAAAGGGTCAAGACAAATTGGAGACAGAGAGTGACAGAGCCCATTAAATTTATATTTTATATCCACATTCCCCCTAGACTTTGGCCCACCTTCCCTTGAAATCTAAATTCTAGATAGACTTTAATGGTATTGCCTGCAACTCACCATTCTCAATAACTGGATAAACGCGATTACGATTTATTAATTGTAACATTATGTGCATGGCAAGGGTTTAAGATATTACGAAGGAAATTAAATTTTCTTAACTACAATTTCAGTAACAATACAGATGAATAATCTAAGAAACTAGTTACCTTTTCTTATACAGCTATCAGTCAATTAAAATGTCATCAGCAGCCTCCTTGAACATTTGTGGCTTTGATCTTGAGGCAACTAGTTTCATCATTATCAGTTTTTGCACTTGCTTTTGTCGTCCTTCAATGGCCTGAAAGTGATTATGCATTCAATACAAGCTGGTTCATCTCACAAATATTTGTTCTTGTTTTGTTGAGAGGACAAATAGACTTGATGATCCTGCTTCAAATTGTTGCTTCCATTAATCAGCTAACCAAACATAAGAAAGAAGGATAAAGAATAGACTAAGATTTAATAGGATCTACTCAGATTTAGATATGAATAAAAATGCATACTTGTGAATGAAACTTTGCAGTCTGAAGCATCCGCTTCACCGAAAATCCTATGTTGGATTCTGATAAGCCTTCTTCACCATTAGAGAACTTATTACTCGAGCATTCTCCACTTGTTGAAGAGCTTGAAACTGGAGGTGGCGGCGTAGATGACCATGGAACAACTTGATTATCTTGATCATCATCATCTTTATCACCCATATTATCATCTTCATCATCCTCATCCTCATCATCGTCGTCATCTTTTCCATCAAGATTAGCTTCATCATTCCCTTTTAGTTCCCAATTTTTTCCCTTCTCCATATGGCCACTATCACCAACACAAACATTGCAAACAGATATGGTAGGACCAAGTTTTGGCCCAGAGCCATTCCAGGGAGTTGGAGATTGACAGAGATGACAAAGAAGAGTTCTTGAATGCTTGGCGACTAAAAAATTGGCGCCGTGAACTTTGGTGTCGCAATCCCAACACAAACTAGCTTGATCAGATTCACAGCATATCTTGGCAGGAGACTCACAGAGCTCACACTTTTTCATCTTCAACAATAAACAAAAATTAACTCTTTCAACTCAATCCTTATATCTCTGAATACAAGTCATGTTTAGTCCAACTTGTGCAGTTTTGTGTTGGTTGAATTAAAATACGAAACACATGCCAAAACCAAGTTGCAGTTATTTATATTAAAACACCGCCTTGCTTTTACAACTTTCTTTACTTTCCAGTTTCCCCTCGACTTGGTTTTATGAATTTAGTAAAACCCTGATGAGAAATTGAGTGAAATTTAACAGAGAAATATTGGGGGGCCAGATTGGTGTGTAATTTGTTTGGTGGTGTTGGGTCAGGTGCTGCATATTGGACATTCAATATCCACTTAGATTTTCCCACGTCATGTGGGAAGATGCGTACTTGGATGTTCAGCACTGGACCTAATTTGATTCCTACACTGCTCACTATTTAAACACATACATCAAAAGAAAGAGATAAGAGTCCTATTTTATTATCATTTTTGGTAATATTCGTGGTGTTTTTAGGTTGTCATATTTTCAATGATGAGACCCGATGGACTTATATTTCATTCGGTGGTTGGGATATATGGAATTATATATAGAGGTTGATGTGTCTTGCACATGGAGGATATTAGGTACACTTGTTAATTAAGTCAAGCTTTGCATGCTGAGTTTCAACTTCCAACTAATTTCAGAAGTACTGGTCAAGTGGAGTCAGTCATTTGTTGCAAGTTATGCCATTATCAAGATTCAAGAAGCTCATTATGCCTTGGGTAGAAGATGCCCAAATAAACTTATGTGGTATTCCATTAATTTTTGCGAAAAAAATAAATTGCCCAGATAAAAGGAAAAGCAGTTGGGATACTTAAAAATAATAAGATAGTGGACATAGTTAATGTTGCATATCCTTGTGGAAAAGCGTGCACACAACCAATAGAGTTGTAATTTATACTTCTTGATGAAATATGGAATGCTTCAATCAAGCCCAGATTTCATCATCAAATCATTCCTCATTTTCTCCATCAATCATTCCTCATTTTCTCCAATCAATCAACCCTAATTTCTTGTACTACATAATTGTATTGCCTTTCATGTAACTATTTTTTTTGGTATAAATTCAGTCATGTACAAAGAATAGAAGATCAAAACACAATACACCATTCTTTCATAGTATTTTCTTAGGCATACTCTGGCAACTCTTGCTCTCATTCTCTACCTCTCTTTCCTTCCCCATTAATGTCTGACATGGTATCAGAGCACTCCATCTAATTCAGCTTCCGCTCTGCTAACCTTTCTTTTTTGTCCTTGCATTACAAACAGATACTTTGTTAGTTTTCTCTCTCTTTTATTTTTTTTTTATTTTTTTTTTATTTTTTTTTTATTTTTTTTTTTCTCTCTTAAATTCAAATGGCAAATACTCAAAACCCAAATCCTACAACCACTCCAAACCCCATCATTCACCTAAATGCATCAGACCCCTCTCTGTTCTCTCTAGACCAATCAGGTCTAGCTCATGATACACAAACCGGCTCACTACCACCCACTCTAACCGGCTCACTACCAACCACTCAAATTGGCCCAATACCACCATCCAAACCAGCCCAATCCCAACAATCCAAACTAGCCCAATCCCTACAATCCAAACTGGATCAATCCCAATAGTCTCAGCCGGCCCAATCCCAACAACTTCTGTTGGCCCAAACCCAACACCACAACCCAATCAATATTCATTTGTTTCCTAGGTTACAATCCAGGTCAACCCTTCAATTTCCAAATGGCCCCAATTGCCAGACGCCACCCTAAACTAGACGACGTTCTATATGTGCTGGCTTCTGATGGACCTAAAATAGTCCTCCTCAAACAACCATTGACCGGATCCGATAACTATGCTTCTTGGGCTCACGATTTTCAGCGAGCCCTCGTAACTAAAGATAAAGGATGCTTTATTGATGGGTCTATTCAACCACCAATTGAATTAGATCTCCACCAGCATTGTAAAAGATGTAACATGTTGGTCCGATCTTGGATTGGTAATTGTTTTTCCTCGAAAGTAGTCGTGGGCCTATCGCCAAGGGAAATTGCTGCTAAGATGTGGCTGAACATAAAGGAAATGTATGGAAAACTTAACTTGGCCAAAATCTTTATACTTCGTCAAAGACTCGCCGATATCAACCAAGGAAACTCATCAGTGACGACATAATTCAACAATCTCTTCGCCGTGTGGAATGAATTAGATGCGACTGAAGAATATCTTGATGGGCCGCTGGTGACCCTTGCTCAATTCCAGAGAATTCGTGGCAAGAATGGCTTAGTCGTTTCCTCCTTGGCCTAAATGAAGCTTTTTTTGTCATTTAGAACCCAAATCCTGGTCACCTTGCCATCTTCCACTCTTCACCAAACTTTTCAGTTGGCTGTCCAGGAGGAGAGTCAGCAGCAGTTCATCGTCAACGGTGCTCTGGATGCCGTGGCTTTTGCTGGTGAAGGACAAATCTCCCTAACGACATCGGTTGCAGAGAAAAAGAGTTTGGGAGAGTGACTAGGTTTTTCCACTAATGAAAAACAAGCTCTTTTATATGATGAAATCAAGGGCCAAGATCACTTCTTGCAATTCAACGGCCACAAGTTGCTCAACCTTCTCCAAGGATCCAATGGCCTTTATGCAGCCACATCTCACACAAGGTCAAATAGGTCAATTGGGCCCAATGAGTCAAATTGGTTAAATGGGCTCAATGGGTCAAACTGGTCAAATAGGCCCAATGGGTCAAACTAGTCAAATGGATCTGGATCCTCCAAAAATGGAAAAGGGAAATTATTCTGCAAATATTGCAAGCATCGGAATCACTCCCGAGACAATTACTGGAAGTTAAATAGGCGTCCTAAGGACAGAACTGGAAATACTTCCGCCCATCAAGTTTCCACCATCCCTACTGGCAACCAACTTTCAGCACCAATGATTAGCATGGAACAATACAAGCACTTACTTCAAATGCTGCAAAGCACTCCACAAAAATCCTCGACTTCCTATGCAGGTACATCATTTTGCCTCAATTTAATTACGAATGATATCCGGATAGTTGATTCAAGGGCCAGTGATCACATCATATGTAACCCCAATTTTTTTTCCTAGATATCCACCACATCATCCATTTCCGTTTGTATGCCAAACAAAAATATTGCACTAGCCACCGGCATAGGAACCATCCACCTAACCAAAAAAGTAGTGCTTAAAAATGTTTTATTTGTTCCTGCATTCTAGTTTAATCTTATTTCCGTATCCAAGGTATGCACAGACAATAGTTGCATATTAAAATTTTGGCCTAACACATGTGAATTTCAGGACCCTTCAATTGGGAAACTGATGGGGTTGGGTAGATTCAATAATAGTCTATACTACTGGACTTCTGGTTCTTTTTCTAATCTTTTTCAGAATCCCTCTTCTTGTATTACAAATAATAAAAATTATTATTGTAATACCACAGTCAATAAAAATTCTTTAACTCTCCATCAACGATTGGGTCATAATGCATCTATTCTTGAACCTAAATGTCATATTTTCCCTTTTGCCAAACAATCCCGTACAACTTTCTAAAATAGTACATCCACCACCACTCGACCATTTGCCCTAATCCACCTTGATATTTGGGGCCCCTAGATACACCTAATCATGATGGGTCTAGGTTTTTCCTCACCATTGTTGATGACTTCTCATATGGGATATGGGTATTTCTTATGCAACCCAAAACTCAAACACTTACCTATATTAGGATTTTTTGTCTATGGTCAATATCCAATTCCATTCATCAGTTCAACAAGTTCGAACTGATAATGCCTGTGATTTCTTTAACATTCAATGTTCTGCTTTCTTTCTATCCCTTGGGATTCTTCATGAAAGTTCCTGCACTTATACTTCTCAACAGAATGGGGTATAGAAAGGAAAAACTGCCACCTGTTAGAAGTTGCCCGTGCCCTTAAATACCAAGCCAATATCCCTAGAAACTTTTGGGGTGAATGTGTGATGACGGCCACTTACTTGATCAATTAGATGCCGATTTGTGTCTTCTATGGCAAATCTCCCTATGAGTTATTATTTAACAAGCCTCCAGACAACAGTCATTTATGAGTATTTGGTTGTCTTTATTACTTAGCTATTCTTGGGTGCCATGACAAGTTCGGACCCTGGGCTACTCGTTGTGTTTTCATGGGTTATCACATGCTTCAGAAGGGCTAATGTGCTTTCATGGGTTATCCCATGCTTTAGAAGGACTACTATGTTTTTTATCCAACTACTAATAGATTCTTGATCTCTCGAGATGTTGTATTCATGAAGACAGCTTTCCATTCAGTGATAGTGACTCTAACTCAGATTCTCCGCCGTCGCCCAAATTACTAGAAGATGACCCATCCACTATTCCACTAGGCCCACTTTTTACACTACTACCAATTACTGACAACAGTCTACCTGAGACAGCTTCAGACTCTCCATTACATATTTATACTAAGTCTAGTTCCCCAACAGCAGAGCTCCCTACCTCTGGCAATCACTCACCAGCAAGTTGTCCAAACTCTTTTATACTTGTTCCAACACCTCCTCAACAACGGTCCACTCGTACTACTCGGCCTCCCGTTTGGACAACTGATTATGTTGTCCTACCATTCTAGTCTCCTCAGGTACAAATTCCTAGAAGATGACCTAGATTCTCCGCCGTCGCCCAAATTCCTAGAAGATGACCCATATTCTATTCCACCAAGCCCACTACTACCAATTACTAACAACAATCCACATGAGACAGCTTCAAACTCTCCATTACATATTTCTACTGAGTCTAGTTCCCCAACAACAAAGCTTCCTACGTCTGGCAATCACTCACTAGTAAGTTGTCCAAACTCTCTTATATTTGTTCCAACACCTCCTCAACGGAGGTCCACTCATACTACTCGGCCTCCCGTTTGGACAACTGATTATGTTTTTCCTACCATTCTGGTCCCCTCAGGTACAACACACCCTACTTTTGATTATGTCAATTATGACCGTCTCTCTTTTTCACATAAGATTTTTGTCACTCAGATATCTGCTAAAAGAGAACCTCCATACTATTCCGAAGATATCAAAAACACCAATTGGCAATAGACTATGGTTGATTAACTTATTGCTCTTGCTCAAAATCACACATGGGATTTAGTTCCACGACCTCCTCACCAAAAACATATTGGATGCAAATGAGTTTACAAGATCAAACATCATGCTGATGACTCGATTGAAAGATATAAAGCTTGCTTGGTTGCTAAGTGTTTTACACAAAGTGAAGGGTTTGATCATCAAGAGACATTGTCTTTGGCTGCCAAACATGTTACTGTTCATGCATTTCTTATTGTTGCCTCTGTCCGTGATTAGCTTTTACACCAAATGGATGTGCACAATGCTTTCCTCCATGGAGATCTTCATGAAGAGATTTTTATGGAGCTCCCTTATGGACTACGCAAATAGGGGGAGATCATAGTATTTCATCTATGAAAGTCCTTTTATGGCGTAAAACTAACATCTCGACAATGAAATGAAAAATTCATAGAAGCTCTCACAAGCTTATGATTCGTTCAATCCAAACATGATTATGCATTGTTCTCTTGGCATAGAGGTAAATCTTTTATTGTTCTCGTCATTTATGTTGACGATATGCTTATCATAGGAAATGATGAGGCAACCATAAAAACTTTAAAAGAGCATCTCAACAAACAATTTTGTATAAAAGATCTGAGGGAGCCGATTATTTTTTAGGGATTAAAATTGCAAGATCACTAGCAGGAATATCTCTTAGTCAACGAAAGTATGCCCTAAAACTTGTAGCAGATTCTGGATTGTCAGCGTGCAAACCAAGTATCATCCTTACTGAACAAAACACCAAGCTCACCACTCAGGATTATGATAGTGGGACATTGACCTCAGGGATAAATCCACCACTAGAGGATCCCTCAAGTTATCAAAGACTTGTAGGCCAACTTATTTTTCTCACCATGATACGACCATATATTAGCTATGCGGTACACATTCTCAATCAGTTCATGCATGGTTCAAAACAATCCCACATGGATGCAGTAATAAAGGTGCTCAAACATTTAAAGGGTTGTCTTGGCCTAAGGCTTCTTTTGCCATGAAATGGGAATCTCGACATCACAGCCTATTGTGATTCGGATTGGGCTACATGTCCAATGATGAGGAAATCACTCACTGGTTTCTGTATAAAGCTTGGAAGAACACTTGTTTCTTGGAAGACAAAGAAACAATCCACAATATCACTATCATCAGTAGAGGTAGAATATAAAGCCATTGCAAAAGCCATGTGTAAGATCATCTGGATACATGGGTTACTTGAAGATTTAGAGGAATAAGTAAGTAAGTTTGTTCTTTTACATTGTGATAACAAAGCTGCAAATGACATTGCAACGAATCTAGTTTTTCATGAAAGAATAAAACATATAGAAATCGACTGATTTCGTCAGAAGGAAAATACAAGAAAGAATAATCAAAATTATGCACATCACACTTTAGAACAGCCAGCGGATATATTTACAAAACCTTTATGCATCACACAACATTCATATTTATTGCACAAGCTTGGGGTCTATGACATATATAAACCACAAACTTGAGGGGGAGTGATGAAATATGGAATGCTTCAATCAAGCCAAGATTTCATCATCAAATCAATTCTTGATTTTCTCCTTCAATCATTCGTGATTTTCTCCAATCAATCAACCCTAATTTCTTGTACTACATAATTGTATTGCCTTTCATGTAACTATTTTTTTGTATAAATTCAATCATGTACAAAGAATAGAAGATCAAAATACGATACAACATTTTTTCATATTATTTTCTTAGGCATACTCTAGCAACTCTTGCTCTCATTCTCTGCCTGTGTTTCCTTCTCCTTCAATCTCTGACACTTGTACTTGATAATTAATTGCATTTTCGAATATGTTATAGAACAATTTTCACCAAACTACTTGTTTCCAGTATTCATTACTTGTCGTTCTTTAATTCTTTTAGTACAATTATATATATATTTTTTTATTTATGGTAATTCCTCTTTGGTGCAACATTAAACATGATTGAATTTTGAGGAGCGCGGACCCCGGAGGCAATCCAGACAGGGAAGGCCGGAAGTGCGACATAAGCCAGCCCATTAGTTTTGTTATTTGAGTCCACCTAATCTCTCTCTTTATATATATATATTAGTTAATTTCAGAAATTCGCTTATCCTAATTCTTTTAAGCATCATATATCTTGTTCAACATAAAGTACTAGAAAAAATAAAAATACACAAGCTTAAAATTAATTACAAATAATGAGTATTACAGAGGAAAAGTAGGCACAAAAAGCATGGAAAAAGAGTTATAAATATTAGGAATATATTAGAATTTTATAAAAATTCCTTAAACCGTTGATAAATGACATTGACCTGACTATTACTTTATTATTGAATTTAACTTTTGTTTTGTTTTATAGTTCCTAATTGCTATTGCGTTTGCTTCTAAGTTATCTAAATGTTGATAAAATATAAATGTCTTTTTTTACCATCTTTGGTTTGATTGGAATGGTAAAATAGAGGTATCAATATTAAAGAAGATGGTGTTCAGTAAAGGAGATTATAAGGAGAGTTATTGGTATAATTTAAGATTATTTTTAAATTTATTTTATTTGATAAGTTTTATTTTAAGGAGGAGTTTGAAAAAGAAGTTTATAGGTTTTTAAATAACACCTTTCATTCAACTTTATACTAAGTTATAAGCTGGCCCGAACTGAGTTTAATAGACTGAGCCCAATTTTCACTTGGGCTCATCCATTCAAAACTCTTCCTTGCCAATTACATTAATGTCCTTCTTAGTGCCAGCTCTTTGACTGTATAAAAGAAGCTAACATAAAAATAGGCCAGTGAAATTAAAATAAAATCTTTTTTAGACATCAAGATTTTATTTAATTGCAATTTCTTTTTGTAAAATTAAACTTAGCGTTCCATGATAAATGTATTTCTCTTTGGCTTCCGATGTTTTAGTCAAGAAATCAAGATTTTAAGCAACCTGCAGGTGTCTAATAATTCATAAAACTGCAAAAATTAAAAGAAAATCAAAGAGAGAGAGATAAGAGGGCGCATTGTTAAAGAGAAATGATTTATAATAAGGGCATGCATGAATACATAGTAGTTGAGATAGAGAAAGAAAAAAGAATAAGCAAAAATGAAGCAACATCTAAAAGTCATTTACAAGAGCTTCTAAAAATAATTTTCTGGAACTCTTCATCAAATCAGGACTCAACCTGAACATGAGAGTGCAAAACTCCATCTCATTCAACGCTCCATCTCCATCAACATCACCTTCTCTCAACATACACCTCACTTCATCATCACTCATATCTTGCAAACCAAGCAACGCCGAGTTCTTCTTCAAGCTCTCAAAAGTTATCACTCCCTTTTCCTCATCAACCAACAAACGAAACCCGTTGTAAAGCTCCTGCATGAACCCGTCCGCTCCCAATTTCTCCACCATAGCCGGAAAATAATCCTCAAAAACAACCCCATTTGCAGACGCCATAAGTAAATTAATTAACGTAAGAAAAAAAAAAAAAAAGTAAGAAAGATTTGAGTCAATGAAGGTTAAGATATGGGTGGGCGTATTTATAATATGAAAGAGAAGAATGGCGTTGATTGACAACGAAGGTACAGGTAAGATAGAATTTAGTGAAGAAGCCGGCATTTTGCTGTGTATAATTCGTGGGGATTTCGTATTCAGGAAATGTTCTCCTTCCTCGAAGTTGCATGGGAAGGTGCCACTTTTATTTGGTCATGCCAACCATGTTCCTATCATACATTTAAACTTTTGCTTTGGACGGCAATTTACTAAAATACCACCAAACATCTTTTTGGATTATTTTAAAACCTATTCTTCTATTTCTGGAACATTTTATCCATGGTTATGTTTTTAATTAGTTCAACGTAACACTCCTTTGCATACAATAATTAATGTGTACATATGTGATCCTTTAGACACGTAGTGTGAATTAACTATAGTGTGAATATGAGTATAACTTAATAATCATTATCGAAGGGTCAACTCAAATGCCTGATCTCTCACGTGGCGCCACTTTTTCAAATCCTTGTGTCAAGAGATTAGAATGCAAAGGGGACATAACTTAAGTGTAACGTAAATGAAATCAAAGTGGGAATCTCATTCGGCTCTTTATAAACAATTTCTTTTCCTATTTTATTGTTCATATTGTATGAATGAGATTCTAGTTTAAGATTATTATTGTATAATGTCATCTGCTTCAAATATATTTTTTTTTTTATTTTCACGCCAATTATAAAATTTTGTATATATAATAATATTATTCATCATGAAATCAAAAGAAAATACTAACTATCAAATTTAATGTAACCTATTTTTATTCAATTATTTTAATTATATTTTACTCCCCGAATGTTTCCTAAAAGACATTTCCCTTGAAGTATAAAAAATAGCAAAATACATGAAATAATTAAATTTCCAGAGTTTGGAAAGTGACAAGTACACCCACGCTTATAAAGATTGGCCTATTGTTCTTTTAACTTTTATCTAAATGTTCTTAATTTTAATTTTAAGTGAATTAAAAAGGTTAAATCTTTTTACTTTTCACTTTAATGAAAAATGGTTGAGTAGTTTATTTAAGTCACTTAGACAATATCATCCTTATTTAATAGCAATAATCACAACTATACTCAATTAAATTGGTCAAAACCTATTACTAGAATCTGCCTAAAACACCCATTTTCTAGGGGTGGGAAAAAATTGATTAACCGGATTGAACCGGTCATTTTCTGAACCAAACTGAAAAATCGGTTCAAGTAGAATCCAAATCAAAACTGAACAAATTTACTGTTTGAACCGGTTTTAAACTGAACCAAATTACTAATTTGGAAAACCAATTAACCTATTTTGAACTGGTTTTATCATCTCTACTCCTTCAACAAATTCTCCACAAAATCAAATCTTGCAAATCTCAACCACACTAGCCAATCTTCTTCACAAAACCAAATCAATCCACCACCAATCAAACTTCAAGATGCCATTTTTCAATCATTAATTCCACCCGTAACATCAACTAAAAAATCAAAAGAAAAAGTAATTAATTTGCGAAACTAATCCATATCCTAAATCAAGCAAACAACAATCCATTACCACAAACCAAAATAAAACAAATAAATTCCAAAAAATAAATCAAAAGCTCAAAACCCAAAAACCCAAGAACTCAAGACTTTGAAGATGTAGCGAAGCCAAATAGCGACAACTAGAGAGAGTGAATAGGGAAGAAGAAAGAAAAGAAAGGAAGAGAAAGAGAAAAAGAAACGATAAGGAGAAAGAGAGGGGCATGAGAAAAGAGTAGGAAGAAGAAGAAAACAAGATAAAGAGAAACATAGAAGAAGAAGAAAGAAGAAATGGGTTTAGGAATTTTGGCCTTAGATTTAGGAATTTTGAAAAACCGGTTTCTCAAATTGGCTGAACCGTTACCCGAACCGAAAAACCGGTACAACCAATTTTTTGAACCGAAATCGAATTGATTTTCAGGTTTGGCTTCAGTTCGGTTTTTCGATTCAATTTGGTTTTCAACTTTTTTTTCCTAGCCCTACCATTTTAAACATGTTTACTAAAATATAAGCTTAATCAACTATAACAACAACAAAGCATTTCAAAAATAACTTATTTAACATGTTTCCTAGACATATATGCAACATATCAAAATTTTAGATTTCAAATAAATGAACTTTCATTTAAAAAACAAGATATCAAGAAATCCGTTAAAAAAAGCTCTTCAAGATCACAAATTCCAGTCTTCACTTGAGATTTTAGAGTGGAAGCATGGACTTTGAATAATGATACATCTTTAACTTCTTCAAAACCCACACAAATATATGTATACGAAACATGTTATTTGGGACATTTTCATCTTTTAAATTAAAATTACGAAAACTGAGTTAGGCTATTTTGTGAGATGCTTTCCACTTTGGGGCTAGTTTTTATTTAACAGCCCCAAATGGGGCTAAATAATATAATTTTCAATCTCCAAATACACCCCCGCTGATAATGTCACATAATTTAAAGATAAGAGATAATTAGAGTACTCAATGTTTAAAAAATCCGTAAAAAACAATAAAATGACCATAATATCCTCTCCTCGTATATTTTAATAGTTAAAATTTAATACTATGTCATCAATTATGTTTTTGAAAATTAAACTAAAATAATATAATGTAATTTTTATCATTTTTAATAAAATATCATTAAAATAATAAACAAATTGCACCACAATTAATAAATTATACAGGATATTCCTATATAATTTTATGATGGGCACCCTAGGCCAGGCCTGAACATGGCTTGGCCTAAAATCACGAATGAGTAAGCTAATAAATTCAAGTTGTGTTTTAAGCAACATATAACTTCATATTGACACGAATTGATCTTAGGGTATGCCTGCGTTGAGATTTAAGAAAAAGAATAAAGTATAAAGCCTAATAATCTCAAAGTAAATAATTAAAATATTTTAAACTAAGGATTCTTTTTTAAAATAAAAAAAATAAAAAATAAGATATGATAAATTGAGAGGATAATCCGGAGGAACTTCAGAGAGCAAGTGAGGGTGTTTGGAATTTATATTAACCTACGAATCTCATGATAATATATATATATAATTCTTTTTTGAAAATAAAAAAAATTATATATATATAAGTTCTAAATAAAATAAGTTTATATATATAAGTTCTTAATAAAATCAGTGCTAACTTCAATTTCAAAATTTATGTAGAATTAAAAATTATATTTGTTGAGTATCAGATAACATTGATTTTTGTACTTTGATCTAGTAAACAATAATTACAAATCAAGAGTTGTTCAACTATTAATAGTTATATCTATTTCAGGCAATTTAATTTAACTCAAATGTACTGATCTGCCATTATAATCACAAGGTCCCCGTAGCTTCGAAGAAGATGGGTTTGGTCAGTATTCAATAATCTTTGGCTCCATCGTTACTGACAGAGGACACAATTGAAGAGCTACATCTGGTCCACGTTGTTAAAGATTTTCAGATAAAGAGTATTTGTTTTATATTATTTATTTCTAATGTATATTTTTTATTAGTAATAACAGTGTTTAAACCAGTTTGTACGTACTTTAGTTAATTCTTGAGATTCATTAAACACTCTACTTCATTCATTCACTCATTTCTTCATCATAATTTTGCATTAAGTTGCTCCTATTATTTCTTCCTAAATTAGCTGTTGAGGGTAGACAATTCTTTTGTCAGGACTCATATCAAAACTCAAAAGAAGAAGTAAATGGAAGTTGCTGGGCCAGTATTTACAGTGGCATTTACTGGTATCCAGAAATTCCGAGGCAAGACAATTCTTGAATAAAGACTTGGCCACAAAGGCACAAACAACTCACGAAGTTGAAAGGAAAGAGTTCCTTAGTTCCCTGGTTTTTATTTGACTTATTCAAGACCACTCTCCTTCCAAGAAAGTTCCTACTATAAGTAAGAGGTTTTTACATGGACACCCTTAGGTTTAGTGATGAAAAATGAAGCCCATAGGTTTCGAATGAAACTCTTACATCTTGTAATTGAATGTGTTTGTGAAAAGTAGCTATCATAAAGTGAAATACACGCCACAAAAAAAAAAAATTATTTGCCAGATGTCTTGTCGAATCGTCAAAGTTTAATATTTTTAAATCATTTTATATAATTTTACTAATTTGATCATACGACAAATGTTAAGTATTAACTTCTTTTTATTATAAGAGAAAAGATAAAATAAGAGTATATTAATCATTATACTAAGATTTTGTGTCCAAATTAACTTTTAAAAAAACGTTTGTCAATTATAATGGTGTAAATGTTCTATTATGAAACTATCCGATGTACGTTTTCCATTTGAAACTTGTTGGTCTTGTTGTTCTTTTACTAAATCTCAAGGGTGCCCATATAAAAACCTCAATCTTAAAAAGAGTTACGTAAGGTTTGAAATTTAACCCTTTTATCTAAGTAACTCTGTAATTAGAAATAATCTATTGCTATCTACTTTGTAACTTTTTCTACCGTTTTTGATTAAATTAACACGACGTTGACATCTATAAAATTGCAAATCAACAATTTGGAACCAATCTGTCATAATTTATTATTTAATATTATAAGTGTTTAGACATTAAGTGATTAATTATTGTTCTCAAGAAATAGGATATTTATCTTTCAACCTTGAGATTTGAGTTGTGTTTATCTTGCTTGGGTATATAAGATATAAACACTTAGTCTTCTTAGTCGCATTAGGAATTTTCAAAGTATATGTTCTATTAATATGTCATATTTACCGTTACGATGTTAAAAAAGTGGGTTCACATCATTAATATTTGTTATTTGATAGGACTATAGTGTTTGTATCTCACATTACCGGAGTAAGGTAGTATTACCTCAAACCTCAGGGATTAAAGTGTCAATATCCCCTAAAGAAATGACTTTTTTTAAGTCAACAAGTTTTAGCTTAACATTTAAGTTTATTCTATCAAGAAGGAAGCCAATAATTAACTAGTTATGAAGGTCACCAGAAGCTCGATTTCAGTAGCCAT